TTTAAGATGACAACTTTTTTTTTTTGTCTTTTTTTTTTTTTGCCCTTTTAGTTTACATTTTTTTTGAGTTATTAAAGATTTAGTATTTGGATATCAATGCCATTTGCTTAATTTATTGTGTAAGTTACACATGACTACTTAATTGATTTTTAGACGGAATCCGTTAGTACACAGTAGGCAGATTAGACTTCAATTATTGAAACGTTAACATAGTATCATCAAAACAAAAGTTTCAAAAAAGAAGTGCAAAAGGAAATAAAAGTTGAGGACGTCATTTATTTATTTATTTATTATTATTATTATTTTCCTTGAAGAGAGCTCTCTATATTTGGAGCAACTGTTATTTTCTATTCATTAAAAAAGTAAACTATAAAATCACGCCAAGCTTACATATAGATCAAGTTGAATATTAATGACTGTTTATGAAAGTAAATTCTACAAATTTTTATAAAATTAAGAATAAAAAAAGGTTAAAACTTTTATTTATTATACTGTTTCATTGTGTGTATTGTATATCAATATGTGGACATTTAAGAGCTAAATATGGTTACATAGCACGATAAAATTTGCCCCCAAAAGATTGGGAATTTCGAGGTAAAAGCTCACATCATACATGCAGGGACGGACCCAGTCTCCAAGCTCCGCCCTAGCTGAACTTTGAGGCTGGGTCCGCCCCTTCATCTCATCCCCTGCTCGTCTCCAATTAACACATCATTCTTTTCCATGTCATTGTGAATTAGCAAAAAATTCACAAATACCTTGAAGTTTTGCATCAAGAGAGGATGGCGGTGGCTTGGATCCATTGAATTCTTTACATAACTGTAGTTATAGGAAAAATCTTTTCCATTAAAACAATACCACCATTTATCGAAATCTTCCAAAATCTAATATCAATTGATGTTCATCCTCCATCCTCAAGTACTCTAATATCAGCATGGTGATGTACCATAATCTCATTTGAATTTTTTTTCCTACAATCCTTCGTGCTCTTGGCTACAACCCCAAAACCCCAATGGCACGTCCTCCATCGAATATACCACCACCCCATCATCCACCTTAATATTCTCAGTAATCCTCTCAACCCATCCTTTCAACACATTGTTCCCGTACAAAAAACTCATCTCTGAAGTGGGTCCTTCGTAAAATGGGTTTTGCATCACACTTTTTTGCATATTGTTTTGACAAACCCATGATTTGAATTTTGAGAAATGATGCGATGGTTTGGAGATTCAGTTGTGCCAGAAAGAAGATGAAGGGGATGGAGAATGGAATAAGATGACATAAAATCGTGATGGTTATGGAAATATTTTAGGGATTAATAAGTTAATTAGGGGTGATTGGAGATTGGTTTATGAATTCTATAATATTTTAATAGATAAAGTTTGAGTGTTGGATTGGATTAGATTAGATTAAAGGCCAAGACTATTTGTCAAATACAGTTGTCAAATTAGTAGGAATGAGGAACCGTCCCGAATATGCAATTAGACAAACTTCGAATATAGTGGTTATATTTACGAATAGAAATATATCATATTTATCCATATGTAATATTGTCATTTGTAAATTGAAATTTTAATTGATTACATATTTTTATACTAAAAGACGTGATATTGTTATTTGTATATTACCGTCTTCAAAATAATATTTGGTAACGAATAATCGACACTTTTTTTTATTGATACGTATGATGTGACTCTGTATTTTTAATGATTTAATATTTCAAACAATGTTGGGGGAATCCATCTTGGCATTCTACATAATATCAAGAAATTGATTTTGTGGAATAATGCAAGGGATTATGGTGCTTGAAATCTGTATAATATCAATTTCTAGCGTGATTTTTCGGATTTCTTGAGATGAGATGATTTGGGAGGAAAGGCGGGAAGGAATGTGAATTACACCAATTTGGGTATTAAAGGCATGATTACGTTTTGGTAAGGGCTTGTTAGGGGAGCGAAATTAATGCTTGATTTAATGCCTATTAAAATTTAATATTTTCCATTTTATTGTAATAATCCAGTATTTATGCGAAAAATAAGATGAAATATAACCCTTGTATGAGCTTCATTTTTTTTTTTAAAAAAAAATGTATTTTGTAATAATGTTATGATAGAGAATGTGTAATTAAAAAATAAGGTAAATTTTTGAATTTACTTGTAATATTATTTTATTAAAAAATGTGTGATTGAAAATATATTTTGATGAAAAAATGTGACTCGGACAAAGGCATAATATTTAAATATTAATTAAACAATAATTACTTGGTGCAATTTCCTCTATTTGCAAAGCCCAATTAAAAGGCAGGCCTATCAAAGGATAACCCGAGCCTGTTTAGCAAGGGGAGCAGCCTAGGTTTTCTTCTTTCTCAATAATTTACACAAAAAATTGTCGGCATCAATTTATCTTATGTTGCAGAGATTTCTTCTCAACTTCTTCATCACCAAACTTGGAAGGTAGTATCTGATTGTATCAGTGTTAAAATGGGCTTTATATGTTGAAATCGACTCGATTTGTTTGTTTTGAATGATTTAATTTGAAGTCAACTCCTTATAATTTATTCTATTCCAGAATTTTTGTTTCTTGATGGTAATCTTTCTCTAGCAACAGTGATTTTTCCAACAATATTTCTCTTGAATTTTCGATGCGGTTGTTTATGGTTTTCCAATTGTGAAATGCCCAGGACCAAAATCCGGTGGGGGCAGTTGCCCCCCTAGACCACAGGTGGCTCCGCCCCTGATCTGGGTGTATTGCACTTTGTCCAATTAGTATGTGTTTTAATGCTG